CCTTACAAATCTGCTCAGATTTCTGGAAACGGTAACCAGCTACTCTGACAATGGCCTTCCGGTGGATGTAGATTTTGCTATGGATTTAGCTAAAGCTTTTGATAAGGCATCACATGAAAGACAGCAAGGAAATTACAGGCCCATGAAATAAATGGTAAGATATTAGAATAGATAAAACAGTGGTTGAAGGAAAGAAAACAAAAATTCGTGCTAAATGGAAAGGAATCTGACTGGGAAAATTTGCTAAGTGGGGTGCCACAGGGGTCCATTTTAGGGCAAACCCTTTTTGTCATATATACATCAATGACATAGATGAAAATATTACAAACCACATCATCAATTTTGCAGATGACACACAGATATATGGTAAAGTGGGAAATGGTAATGATATTGAAGCCTTACAAAGAGATCTACATTAACTCCACAAATGGGTCAGAAGATTGGCAAATGCTTTTTAATACCGACAAATGCAAGACCCTGAATGTGAAGCTTAACAACCCGCGCCACGACTACCAAATTAATAGCATTATATTACAGCAGATTAATGACGAAAAGGACCTTGGAGTCAAAATCCACCACTCACTGAAAGTTGAATAGCAGGTGGGTGCCGCTGTCAAAGAAGCTAACCAAACGTATCTTTGACTGTAAGGAAAAGAAGGTAATGGTTCAACTGTGTGAATCTCTGGTGGGACACCAATTTGGATTACTGTATCCAAGCATAGAGACCTCATTTTCAGAAGGACATAGCTGCTCTGGAGAAGGTGCAACACCGGGCAACAAAAGTTATTCCAGAGCCGAGTCATCTCTCGTATCAGGAATGGTTGAGGGCCGCAGGGCTAACAACACTGCAGACCAGGCATGACAGGGCGGATCTCATTGAAACTTAAAATATTGAACAAGTTAGAGGATGTTGATCCGGACAATTTCTTCAGAAGGTCAGATGTAACACAAACAAGGAGCAACGGGTTCAAGCTCAACAAGCCACAATGTAGGACAGAACAGGAGATGCTTTTCACACACAGGGTTATTAACCCATGGAACCACCTACCCGCCGAAGCCGTAAATGCTAAAACTCCGATGACTTTTAAAATACAACTGGAAAAGATCATCAAGGCAAATGGGGAGGGGACCCTCGACAAGCCGCCGACTTCCTGTCCTCGTCGAGGCCACTAGCGTTAGTGGCCCTAAGGTAAATCAGTTCCCTATGTGATAGTAGCTTCAAAGTACACTCTTATGAAATAAATTAGTCTCTAGGAGCAGGCTTCAGATGGGCTGAGATACGATAACAGCTCATGCTTGCAGTTTCACCGGGTACAGTCAATTGACAGCGCTTTTTTTGAAAGCCAATCCGTCAAAATTGCGGAGTTTCAGTCAAACTTAAATCTCTGTAATACTATAGTGACATTTTTGGAGTAGCAGTACAGATAGTTTAGCTGTGATACTTAAAGGCGGAACGTCTCTACTTAGATCAAACAATTGAATTTATTTTATAGTGTTAAATCGTAAGAATCTGGTTGTCCAGTAGACCCCACTAGTGGCTTACTGGGGCCCAAGAGCTAGATCTTTATCAACGTACACATAGGGACGCACTGACAGGCAAGCACGGGGGCCCAACAGTGCACAGGGAGTGACTGGAACCATAAAAGCTGAATCTGCCAATTTGTGTCAAGTGTAAGTTGTTGGACACTAACTGCCCCCCACCCTCACCTTCAGTGTTTACCTCAACTGGGACCCCATCAACGTCCTCCTGAGGTCATCACCATCAACATAACTCATCATGTTATCATGCAAGAAGAGCCCATATGTGGGCCAGTCATCAAAATCAACAGATTTGGATGTTACTACTGTTGGTCCCCAGCCAGACTACACGTTACTACTGTTGGTCCCCAGCCAGGCTACATACACGTTACTACTGTTGGTCCCCAGCCAGGCTACACGTTACTACTGTTGGTCCCCAGCCAGGCTACACGTTACTACTGTTGGTCCCCAGCCAGGCTACACGTTACTACTGTTGGTCACCAGCCAGACTACACGTTACTACTGTTGGTCCCCAGCCAGGCTACATACACGTTACTACTGTTGGTCCCCAGCCAGGCTACACGTTACTACTGTTGGTCCCCAGCCAGGCTACACGTTACTACTGTTGGTCCCCAGCCGGGCTACACGTTACTACTGTTGGTCACCAGCCAGACTACACGTTACTACTGTTGGTCACCAGCCAGACTACACGTTACTACTGTTAGTCCCCAGCCAGGCTACATACACGTTACTACTGTTGGTCCCCAGCCAGGCTACACGTTACTACTGTTGGTCCCCAGCCAGGCTACACGTTACTACTGTTGGTCCCCAGCCAGGCTACACGTTACTACTGTTGGTCACCAGCCAGGCTACACGTTACTACTGTTGGTCCCCAGCCAGGCTACACGTTACTACTGTTGGTCCCCAGCCAGGCTACACGTTACTACTGTTGGTCCCCAGCCAGGCTACACGTTACTACTGTTGGTCCCCAGCCAGGCTACACGTTACTACTGTTGGTCACCAGCCAGGCTACACGTTACTACTGTTGGTCCCCAGCCAGACTACACGTTACTACTGTTGGTCCCCAGCCTGGCTACACGTTACTACTGTTGGTCCCCAGCCGGGCTACACACACACGTTACTACTGTTGGTCCCCAGCCAGGCAACACGTTACTACTGTTGGTCCCCAGCCAGGCTACACGTTACTACTGTTGGTCCCCAGCCAGGCTACACGTTAATACTGTTGGTCCTACTGTTGGTCCCCAGCCAGGCTACACGTTAATACTGTTGGTCCCCAGCCTGGCTACTACTGTTGGTCCCCAGCCAGGCTACACGTTACTACTGTTGGTCACCAGCCAGGCTACACGTTACTACTGTTGGTCCCCAGCCAGGCTACTACTGTTGGTCCCCAGCCAGGCTACACGTTACTACTGTTGGTCCCCAGCCAGGCTACACGTTACTACTGTTGATCCCCAGCCGGGCTACACGTTACTACTGTTGGTCCCCCAGCCAGGCTACACGTTACTACTGTTGGTCCCCAGCCAGGCTACACGTTACTACTGTTGGTCCCCAGCCACCCTACACGTTACTACTGTTAGTCCCCAGCCAGGCTACTACTGTTGGTCCCCTGCCTGGCTACACGTTACTACTGTTGGTCCCCAGCCAGGCTACTACTGTTGGTCCCCAGCCTGGCTACACGTTACTACTGTTGGTCCCCAGCCAGGCTACTACTGTTGGTCCCCAGCCAGACTACACGTTACTACTGTTGGTTCCAGCCAGGCTACACGTTACTACTGTTGGTCCCCAGCCAGACTACACGTTACTACTGTTGGTCCCCAGCCAGGCTACACGTTACTACTGTTGGTCCCCAGCCAGACTACACGTTACTACTGTTGGTCCCCAGCCAGGCTACTACTG